CTAAAGCAATTCTCTCTGGGTCCTAATGGCTGTTAATGTAGCCAGAATACATGCCAGTATGCCTCCAATACCCACCTGTTGTCCCTCACTAAAACCTTTATCACTACTAGTAAAACATGCAGGCATATAATGTGTGGTACAGTGGGATACAGGCTATCTCACAGTTCTTGACTCCCGGGTTCAATTATGGGCCTGGGCTCCATCTATGAAGAGTCTGAATGTTCTCCTTAAGACCACATGGGTTTTCTCTGTGTGCTCCCCCAGACAAAAAGACAACACTAGGCTAAAAAATTGTTCTACGCCTTCAGGAAATCCACTGTACACCATAACATCTTCCACTGTGCCTTTTCCAGGCCCTGTTCAAAGGAGACAAAAATCTCTTAAACTGCACTTATGTTTTTTTAGGCAATTTTTACAAGATCCATAGTGATGAAGTGGCAAAATAAAATTCTGGGTGTATTAATACATTTTTATGCAACACATCAATGTAAAGTATAGAACAACAGGCTTAGATAGGCAGGGTAAAAAAGTCAAAAACAGTTATCTTGAAACGTAAAGAGATTGGATAGCTCCTAGAGCACTGTCTAAAGGAGTTTCATGGTAAGTGAACAAAATGCCACAATAAAATGGGAAGCAAAAATGCCTTTCACCACCCATAGCTTGCAAAACCTGAACAAGCCCTTGGAGAGAGCAGTGAATATTTTAAAATACAATGCACATCACCCAAGGCAATCAAAGTGCAACTAGGTATGATAACCAAGCTGTGTAAATAGGTCTTGAACTAATTCATTTCACAAGACAAGCCTTTTCTCCAATGTAAAAATCATTGTCCAGATTTCCAGCCTTCCAGTTCAACCAGACATGTCTGCCTGACTGGTATTCCCGAGCTTCACACTTTACTTGGGAAACGAAGGCAGGATTTCTGCCGCAACACAACGTACACAGTAAAGAAAAAGGCTTTTACCTGACAGCTTTAACACCAAAACAAAACATTTTAGGACAAAGGGAATTCAGTGTTAAGAGTGTAGACCAAATCAAGAGAGGTTATGCGAACAGATTAAAATGCTTTGATAACACCAACTTTCTTTAGAATAGCATGTTAAATTTTGCTTCAGATTTCTAAAATGACATTATTGCTCTGGATCCAGTCCAAAAGGGCAATAAGGTTAATTCCAGACCTTTAAGGACTCCCTCTTTCTGAATCTCTTTAGTGTGGAATGAAAGGAGATTGTGAGGTAACTGGATTCAAACAATTGAAATCTGCAAAGGCAACACAAAGGCCTTTTTCAAGATTACTAGCAAAACACAAACCAGGGGTCACAGGTGGAAAGTAAGAACTACCTAGGAACTGGGAAGAAGAGGCTTCTTACATTTGTGGAAATTTGGAACAAGCTATAGGAACGGATTAGCAAAACTGGTGTCTAGCCATTTCTTGCAATGGATTAACTAATTAAAAGCAAAAAAAACATTAACTAGATGAGCCCAATGGTCTCCTCACATTTGAAATCTTTTTTATGTTCTTAATTACTTCAATCCCCCCCCCCCCTAACCCCACACCCAGAACAGAGCCTTAAAAACTGATAACCGCTTCACGAGGCTCCGCTGAACACCAGATCAGTATTATGAAGAAAATACACAGAAATGAGTGGCACATTTCCATAAGCAGGATCACAAAGCACAGCTCTGCTAAAAATACATTCTGACGGTGCACAACTGCAACATTCCTGAGGGGCACTTCATTCAACAGCCAGAACGACGAAGATTTTCATGCATGTATCAAAATGTAAAATAATCTGCCTGCGATGCTAAAAGCCTTGTTAGTAGAGCACAACTTAAACAGATTTAAGGAAAATATTTCTTCTAGTGTCCTTAATTTTTTTATACACTACAAACAGCCTTAGTTCTCCTGTATATTTTTAAATAACTTGAACTAAGAAGCATCGGTTCTGAAAGAGGTACAGATCTATAAAAGTCTGTCACAGAAGCCAAGCTACTCAAAATGTAAAAGTCAGGTATAGACTGGTTCTGAAAGGTGTCACTCAATCCAAGAAAATGTTACTAAAGCCTAGTTTTCTTACATGCAGGACAAGTCAAAGTAACATATTAGCTCCACTATAGATCATAGAGACTAGGTAGCAAAGTTTAAGTTTCTTTAATGAAATGAAACCCTGGGTTTTCAAGGATACTTGCAGCTCAGGCAATCTAACTTTCCAGACTATCCTCCCTGTCACTATTACTGGAAAACTCTGGGAAGAGAAATTTGTTTACCCAACACGTCACAGACAGTCAAGCAGGCTACTGTTCCTATTGAATGAACCTGTGACAACAGGATATGTAAATACTGTATTCCAATGAATCTGATAGTCTTGTGTGAGAAAGTCACTCTCTTCTTCACAGTGATCCCACAAAACAAATCCTCCTAAAAATCACTAAAATCTGTGTGAAAGAGAACACAAACTTTTTAATGTAAAGTATTCTTAGGTTGGAGAGGAAAAGCTCAGTTTGTGGTTAAAATACATTACAGCTTACAATGTAGTAACAGTGCACTACCATAAAAACAGCATAAAAATAAATCAAAGAAAATGTGTATGATATTCCACTGACTGAACAAAATAATGTTCACTCCGCTCAGTTTAAAATACTTGTAGCACACACAAACCCACAAATTAAGGATACAAGAGGTCTCAGTAGGTAATTGAAATTCTCTTACATTTACATTGCTTCACCTGAAACCATTTATGCAGTGCACACACTTATCAAAAACAGTAAACTATCCTTATCCATGTTATCACTTCCACCTTTGTAACAGGGGGCATTTCAAGGACATTCACATACACGTCCTTGAATTGCATCAACTCTAATTACTTTGGATATAGTGTAGAACCCATCCAACTATCCATTTTCTAACCACTTCGGTCAAGTCAGGGTGGCAGGGGAGCCGAGGCCTTTCTCAGTACGCAATGGGCACGAGGCAGTGCATACCCTAGACAGGACGCCAGTCCACTGCAGGACAGACGCAAACAAGGACATGCTCACACCAGGGCCGTCTTTCCCAGGAGCCAGTTAACCTACCAGCGTGTCTTTGACTCTGGGAGGAAACAAGAGCACCCACAGGAAAGCCATGTGAACACTAGAAGAACATGCAGACTCCACACAGACAGCACCCAGGGCCCCAGCCCTGCAAGGTAGCAGAGCTAACCACTGACCCACCATGCCAGTCAGACATTGAGAGCATCTAACAATTAGAAGCTCCTTGACAGTAACTCCAGGCCATTTGCTTCCAGAGCTGTGATGCTACCTTTAATAACCTTTCTGTCACATTTAGTGTTTTTTTATTAAGGAAACACTACACCCAACAGCCCCTAAGGTGTAAAAAGGGGAAAGAACCGTCTGCGATTAATTGGTAATCATTATAATCTGTTTTATGGTCACACTTAACGCCTAGAGAATCGTCATGGAAGGAAGAGATCTGAAGCTGGCTGGCAGGATGGATTTTCATCTGAGTGCGCCTGAACATTGTGACTCCCTGACACAGTACATTTAATCAGCCGTCCATAACCACCCCCTTTAAGCTTCAGAAATGTCCTCCAGCAGCATTCGCCTGGTAGAGAGCGGACCTCTGATCTCATAAATAACACCCCTTCACGGCCGCTATGCAGCAAATCCCCGTCTAAATTATTTTAAAAGAAGAAAAGCAAAACAAAACTCAAAATAACAGCAGCACTCAATCATTTCAGTGAAACGATGAAGGCAGATTTCAATCCTTCATCTCTCAAACGGGGCAGAGAGAAAGCCCTGTTAAATCTTACTGTGAGTATCAAAGCAATTTCAATCAATGGTTTTAAGACTCTTAAATCTTTAATTATTTTATGTTTTATACAGCATCCCATTTGCAAAGTATTTTTTTATTCTAATACCACAGGACTAAGAGTAAACTCGTTTTTACTGTATTCATTTTTCAAGCTATAAAAACAAACCATTCACAATGATGATACTGCATGGTCTTTACTGGAGCGATTTGAGTGAGATCAAGGGCACAACACCTGTAATTTGAACCCTAACCAATCAGCTGCTTTTATTTTAATGCCATATTTTAGCAGTGCGGAACACCTACAGTATATTGAGATAGCTGGAAACGTGTACATAAGCTCCCAGTATATATACTGGTGACGAGTTTTTTTCCGCCAATATAAAAACAACCTACGACATGCAAAACTGAAGCACATTAGCTCAGACCCTAAAGCGTTTATTAACGTGTGCACTACAGGGTAACAGAACGCAAATTAAAGCAATGATGCATACGCGGTTTAAATTAAGCACAATGACCGATGTCTCCGTAAGAAAATAATTAAGCTTTTAGTGGTCTGTGATAGAGGAAAAGAGAAAATAAAACAGTTTGGTTCAGTTAAAATATCTGAAAACATTTTTTATCCACAGAATGAAACCAAGAAAGATGATCTATTAATACAACCCAGGAGTTCTGATCACGACAAGAGTCTGAATTTAGAATAAACTGAACACCCCTGATAAAAAAGATGATTAAACACTGGCGATTGGTTTTTTAACTTGCCTTCGGTTTTACATAGCAATTCAGCCATTCATTAAGTAAACACAGCTTGTCACAACTTAAAGGACGGCATTTGGTCGACTCGCCCGGATCAGGACGTAGCGGACCCGCGTCTGTGAATTTGGAAGATTTTGCAAACAGAAATCCCCACCAGCCTAACTGGGATGTGGCTCCTGCTGGATACGAGAACGAACTGTACGCACAGTGAAAACACGGCATTAGCGAAGCCTTTAATTACACATCATCCCAGCTTCCAGATGGCTCAACATGCCTGGTTCGACTGGGGCTTCTCGCAATGTCAAGATCAAGCCGCCCTCAAAACATCAAAGCAAAAACATCCACAGTGCATTTCAACTAAAAATAAAAAAACACAGACCTTGTTCCCAGTTCCGCATCAACCCCGCAAAAGCTTAAAATTTCCAATTGTACTTACCGGACTGCTCTCTCCTTACTTTCGCCTCTGCTTTCTGTGTCAAGCGCCTACCTGCTAGCTCCTCCTGTTTATTAATGCGCAAGCGCTGACACGGGCTGCATAGTTAAAGACGAAGGTGGGGACATCCCGAGCAATTGCCCGAGCGCAAGATGCGTCTTTCTGCCTGTGCTATGGCATGAAGTGAATTCTGGAAGCTGATGCGCAACTGATTGTGCTGATTTAGTGTTGCAAGGAAATCAACAATCTGTTCCAATAAAAGCGTAAATTTATGCTCTTATAGTCTCTAAGTAAAACACCACTTGGGAAATAATAATAATAATACTAATAATAATTGCTTACACTTATATAGCGCTTTTCTGGACACTCCACTCAAAGCGCTTTACAGGTAATGGGGATCCCCTCCACCACCACCAATGTGCAGCCTCACCTGGATGATGCGACAGCAGCTTAACGCTCCCCACACGTCAGCTATCAGTGGGGAGGAGAGAAGAGTAATGTAGCCAATTCATAGAGTGATTCCCCCAAATAATTTGGGGGAATCCACCATAGCCTGAGAACTCTGGCCGATTTAAGTAAATGCTTTATATATATATAGATGCATTTAAATAACTTACTTCGAGCCCTGTGAGCAACAAATAATAAGTAATATGAGTAGTAGCTGTCTTAAGGGGTGTAATTTAAAACAAAGGCGTTGGATTTAAAATCTGAACCCAGAGGAACAAAATGCATTTAAGTATAAAAATAATCGCTGCACTCATATAGTGTGTTCCTGGACTGCACTCAAAGCTCTTGACAGGTAACGGGGATCCCCTCCGCCACCACCAGTGTGGAGCCCCACCTGGATGATGCCACGGCAGCCAGAGTGGGCATTACGACCCACACAGACCGCAGGATGAGCGCTCCCTTCTGGTCCCACAAAAAAAGTTTCTAACAGATATAAAAAAAGGATCAGTTGCTCATAGATTTGATCAAAACCCCCGTTTTAAATGACGCCATATTTACAGACCTTTGAGAATGCTTTGCCTTTATCACAGTACTTCTGCTCAACAGGCACGGTCAAATTTCTTCATAACATTCCATCCACTTTCCTACCGCTTTATCCAATTCAGGGTCGCGGGTCCCAGCATTCTCAAAATCAATCTATTGATCAGGTGTGTTACAATTGGATTAAAGGCTCGTCTTGCTCGGCGCCAGTCTGTGATACACAGTTTGTCCACAAGAGGGTCACTTCAAATTTAGAAAGGGCTGGATCTAACCCTAAAAAGAGGTACAGTACGTTATGCTAAGGGGCAAAAACATGTACAGTTTTAGTAAAATCTGCTCTCCAGTTGCTATACTCACTGTTAACCTCTCAGTTGATTTAAAAAGAGCTAACGTGAGACAGAATTGTCAGTTTTGTTTGGGCAACATTCAAAACGTTGAAGAAGCCATCATGTTGTCATTTTATGTGTTTAGTGTGTAGCTGTGAACTAAGCTACAGAAAATTGTTTTGAGGAGTTTATATTTTCCTGGAAAAGTGATAACGGAATAGCTTTATTCAACTATAATTTAAACCTTACAACTAAGATCACATTACAACCAGTTAAACACTAGGCTTAAGGTAAACCGGGCCATTAAAATGACACTGAAGAGAGCATCTCAATTATTTACAGTAAATCACAGTTTATTTTACATTTTGCTACGCTTGTTCCCCAGCTCATCAGTGTCTGTAGTTTTTCAGTTATGAGTCACTCTGGCATGATATGTAAAAGTATGGGTTGTAGCAAAAACTTCAGTAGTGCAAAAAGACTTTGTGCAAAATATTGTTACTTTCAAGCTATGCTTATATTTTTCAGGGCTCAAAAACATAATACCCATTAATAAATTCCATAGTTATTAAAATTAAAATTTATTGTTTTAAAAACTTGAGTGATGATACAATGCAGGTTGTGCTCCTTTTGGAGTTGTATTATTAATGTGTATTATTATTGTTCAATGTATGTATTGAAGTTGGAGATCTTTCCAGTTAAACCCCACAGATCTACAGTTCCGGGTGTTCGGTGCTCTGCTCCCTCAGTGCCTTCAGTTTTGCAGGCAGGGTTTGGGTCATGAACTTCACTCTGCCCTCCTTCAGTCTCCTGGCAGTCTTCTGCTGCAGCCCAAGGGCCAGGTACTCCTCATCCTTGCCATACTGAGGCCAGGGCTCCAGGCCCTCGCCATTGGGCGACCTGCGGGAGATTGTAAACAGTTACTGCTCCTGTTCACTTTGATCAAATCTGGACAAAGTATGATGATTCTTTGCAGTTCTAACACAGAGCTTCATACCCATTACGAGCAAAGTTAGCCCAGTAAGCCATCATCGTCCTGCACAGCTTAACTTCTTCCTCAGTCACAGTGCCTGTAGGAAAGGGAGTTTATTATTTTTAACTGCTATTTACCCATTGTTTTGGCAGATGCGCTTATCTGAAGTGATTTACACTTGGAGCCATTTATACTGGGTACTTCACTAAAGCAATCTGAGTGATTTGCCTGGCTCAAGGTTACAAGACTGTTGCCACACCTTTTATGTGGACACACAAAGTTCCAGTGAGGAGTCCAAAGCTCTAAGCACAATTCCACTGGGTTTGAGTTAGTAAGAGCATCCTGATGCTTAGACTTCTGTCACATTAATATTCCCCCCAAACCGAAAACTGTCTGTTGCCTCCTGTATACACTATGTAAAATCCTGATGCTTTATAACCCATTAAAAATGATTAAAAAGACAACAGTATTTTAATATATATATACAGTATGTATTCATATATTCACATATCTTTTTGTTAGTGTTTCATTACTTCAACAGTCCCCTATAAAATACCAGCACAACATATATTCACATATCTTTTTGTTAGTGTTTCATTACTTTAACAGTCCCCTATAAAATACCAGCACAACAGTAAAACAAAGTAAATGTGTTTTACATCAAATTCTTCTCACCTAGGGAAAAGAAAACTTTACAGAGCTACGCAAGTATTTTCTCATCTACTACACTGCAGATTCTAAAATTATTAATTGTTATTACCTTTAATCTTAACTTCTCCATTCCAGAAACAGCCTCCAAAAACAAACCCAATTTCATCAGAGTGGTCTGCTTTTACAAAGCTGGGTCTTGTGTCTTTATACAAGCTGGGGCGATGCTGATATTCATACAGGTATACAGGCACCCCAGCTTCTACAAAAGCAGGGTAAGAGGTGGACGTCAGTGTGAAAACTGTGCGAGTAGCAGCTGATTGATAAAGCAGGTGCAGTGAGGGTTTCATCTTAGCTATAAGCGAGGTAAAACAATTCACAATTGTACATTTTCCTACTATCTATGCCAGTTTTAAAAGTCCACAGAATCTTTCAATGGATGGTGGTGTGGCAGGTTGTGTGTTTGTACAAAATATTTTCTCAGCCAATCATGGGATTTCACTTGTTTAGGAAGTGTAAGTGGTAATTCGACAGGTTTGGAGTCGATGCAGTGTCTAAATTAGAACAGAAAAGAGTTTTAATTATAGTTTGGGTCCATTATTTAGAACAAATATGCCACAAACAAAGAAGCCAATCAAACAAAGTCAACTGGACTCTAGAAGGAATAGCGAGCTAGAAACCATACAGACACAAGGAGAAGGAGCAAACTTCACAGGGACAGATACAAAAGGACATGGCATTCAAGGCATCGAGCCCAGTGTAAACAGTCGTTAGTGCAAGCGCTTAAAGTTTACACGATGCTTCATTTCTACATTGTGCCTTTGATTATTAGCATTTATAAACATTGTAAACATTTTTTACACACTAAAAAAGTCAACTTATTCCCTTTTCTACTTACAGTAGAAATTGTTGCATGATTTTGAGATAACATTGTAGGTATCTTTACTGCAGCTTTAAAGGTGAGAAAACCAGCAAACATTTAAAAAATGGCCTCTCATCAAACGTACCTTTGTGGAAATTAGCAACTTTAACAGTTGGGACAACCATGATCATATCTCCGAGAATCTCAGTGAAGGCATTTCTAATTTCCTCAGGGTCTTCGGTCTGTCCCAGATATTCATCTGCAATGAGCTCAAGCATTTCTTGACCTGTAATCTAGAACAAAGTCTGAGTCACTGCTCTCCCAGTCTACATTGGCAGCGATCACTGATACGTCATTCTAAATGCAGATGTACTGGCATGCATATTTGCTCATTTGCATGGTGAGTGCAACCACTATACTTAAACCACAATCTTCTGAAAGTTGAAATAATACGTGTAAAATTTCAACAGCTGCTGTGTTCATTCAGCTGAGTGCCTGGGGCATCAGGTTTGGCACTCATGCATCTGATATTTCCTGCAGTATATGACCATTACAATGAGAGAGCATGGGTCTGTTTTATTCACCTCTGATCGGAAGATTTTCTTCAAGATTGCCATCAGCTGCTCTTTGTCCAGGCCCTTCTCCCAGCCAGGGGGAGCCATTATCTGCATTTAACACAAGAAGTACAGTCCTACATGAAAATTGTAGCATCAACAATGATCATCATCATCGTCCATCAGACGCGTGGAGGCTAACTTGTTAATGAATGGTAAAGAAAAAGGAACAAGTCGTATGTTTTTATCATTGAGCCTTCATTCAAAGGATTCACCATTAAACCAACAGTAAAACACTTTAATAAACCTTACTGCCTACAACAGGTGGGTCCAGGAATGAGGTTAGGTAATGATTACGCAGTAAAGCAGCAGGACAATGTGACCTTGAAGAAATCTGCATGTTTTGAGATGTTTTGGGAATGGCAAAGTGTGGAAGCACATGAACAAGCAGGAAGATGATGTTTCCAAGACTGCAGTTTGGGGATAGCAGGACCTAATTCTTAGTCACAGTGCCTCTACAGCTGAGTAACCCAAGAGCTTCATACTTACGTTGGGCAACAACCAGCCTCCTTCATGATTCGTCACTCCCAGCAGGATGGGCACCTTGTGGAAGACTTTGTCTTGGAAAAGATTCTCCACTGGATGGGGCAGAAACACTCCGTCCACTGTCCCAAATATTACATTCTCCTTAATGGGAAAAGCACAATGGATGTGTAAAGTAAATTAGATAATTGTGATCTTGATTACTTTTGACTTTATCTCACTAGAGATCTACAGTACTCACCTTCATAAAAACTTTGCTTTAGACTACACTGCTCTTGTAATGCTCATTGAGGAGCAACTGAAATTGTCAACAGTGAGAAATATCTTGGTAGTACTGCAGATGAGAATGCTAACCTTTAAGGGAAAAATGATGACACATTTAATTGCTGTTAGAACCAACAGCAATTGCTCTTCTTAAGGAATCTCCACTCTTTTAATGTGTATACTACACACGATGACTTTATGCTATAGAAATTTAATTGCATCTGTCCTAACATTCACTGTGGTAGCCTGGTTTGGTAACCTTAATACATGTAATATAAACAGACTGAGCAGAATTGTGAAGGTATCAGCAAAATTGGTGGACTACACCTACAGCTGTCAGACATCTATGTTAAACAAATAGTGCAGAAGGTCAGTATATTGATCACCCCTTGCACAGTGAATCTGAACATCAGTATAAACTAGCATGATTCAAATACAATAGAAATAAGATATATTTTATTCACACAGCTATTAACTTGCTTAATTTGGACAACTTATTGTGTATTTTACATAATTTATATATCTTTCTTTCACCTCATCCAAAATGCCCAGTTGTTCACAAGTTTTCAATAGTATTGAAAATCTTTCTATAGTCCAAAAGGTCATGTGAAATTATATTGCCATTTAATAAATATGTTCTATATTTGGATTGCCAGCAGTGGGTTAGGGTTAGGCTTCTCTGCTTTCACCAGCATGTTAAAAAATAAATTGCATAATGCTTTAGAGAAAACTCCCAGATGGAGGACCCAGGGAGTAGAAATTTTGATAGGACCATAAAGCTCTTACTTCTCCAGGGGCTTTTAGAATCTCCTCTTCAGTCTTCTGCATCACACACTTGACAATTTGCTCAGAGTCACTGTCATCACAACCTAGTCCTTTTGCAAACACCTAAAGAACAAGTATCAGACAATCTCTCAAAAGCCCATTTGAGTTGAGCAAATTGTGTAGGGTCTGAAATTGAATGAACTGAATTCTGTCAATTCTGTGGGCATACGATGGTATGGGAATGGCCCAGAATTTGAACACTTTTGATAATGCAAAGTGTCTCACACCTGAAGTGTCTCAAAGTGTCTCACACCTGAAGTGTCTCAAAGTGTCTCACACCTGACGTCAACAGCACTAAGTCCTTCACTTCAAGGGAATCTCCTACTAATAATTACTGTACATAGAGAAGAGTGAGTACAACATACAGCTCATTGACACCCTTCTATAGATTTCTAACTACGCAAAATGGTTAAAACCCTTCCTTTACGGACATGCAGGAAGGACTAACAAAATCGGTGAGGAGGGGTGTTCAGTACCTTCGTACCAGGAAGAGGATTCGAAGTGAAAATCATGGGTAACAGTGCCACTCCACTTTGAGGGATTGCTCTGTGAAAGAGCCCTGATGTCAAGGGAGACAAAATCTGACACACAAAGAGTGTTGAAAATCGCTTGAGAAATTAGTGCATCATTAGCAGTAAACAGCAGCATTAAACCCACAGTCTGTTTGCACAGCATTTCGCATGGTGAATTGATTTCAATTGCTATACAAGGGTTTATCTTCCACATTAGACATATAAATGTTTATCATGAATCAATAAAGGAAAAACACAGCACTGTATTTAGAAGCAGATTCAGACATTCCATGCTCTTATATACTGTATCTAGTCAGTTTTCCGAGGATATGTCCTTTCTATCTCATGGAAAAACACCCTTTCAGATACTGTATTAATGACATTAGTAATGTTAGAATGATAAAGAATATTCTTTTACATTCCACAGTGAATAATTAAAATTCAGAATATTAATTAGCAGCAAACTAAGACATTTGTCTCCAATTTACTGCAAAACACTAATTCAATGAGATTGAACCCAAAGAAAGAAGCAAAAAATTAAAAAGGCTCAGATGTGACAGAAGTTAAAATATGTTGTTTATACTAATTTCATAATATATTAATTTATTTTTCAAATTGATAAATTAGCCACACTGTACTGGTGCTGACACGCCCCTTTAAGCCCCATGGTTGCAATTGCAATCAATTTGAGGTTCACTCATTTTTAGTCTGTAAGAAAACAACTGAGTTACGTACAAGTGTGGAAACACTGATCCCCCCAGCAGATTCTCCAAACAGAGTAACAGACCCTGGATCTCCTCCAAAACTCTTTATATTCTCTTGAACCCATTGAAGGGCGGCGATCTGGTCTAAGAAACCCCAGTTCCCTTTGGCATGTTCATCACCTGTGCTAAAAAGAAATAATGTCAATTATTAATGGAGTTTTTTAAAAAAAAAAAAAAACATCAGATTTGTATGGTGTCAACTCAAAATTATATCCATTCCCGTATCCAGGTCTGTCCTCTGTATTTTTGTTTCATGTCTGATGTCATTGAATAGCATGGTGGCGTGGCCTCACAGCTTGAGTCCTGGTTTTGATTAAGGCCTGGGAAACCTTCTGTGTGGAGCCAGCCAAGCCAGCCTTGGGGGTTTGCTCTTCTTACCTTAAGAACCCAAGAGGTCCGAGACGATACTGGATCACAACCACCAGCACGTCCTCGTAAGCAGCCAGCACTGAGCCGTCGTACAGGGAGGCAGCCCCAAACCTGAGGCCGCCCCCGTGAATCCAGACCATGACCTGAAGGAAGAGCACAGAGCCTCAGCAGAGCAACCAGGCCCCCGTGGCCACCAGCTGCACACAAACTGCTCAGAAAAAAAAACCTTTACTCTTTGAGCTTTATTTAGAAAAACCGAAACCTGCTTTAACAGCAATATGATTCTGGTACACCACAGTCCATATTTTAGACAGCAAACTATATTTACAACCAAAGAAGGCTCCACAGCCAAAACATTGTGTTTTCTTTCTTCTCTTTTCAGCATGGAATAAACCTATGACTTGTACTATATTTACTAACTTAACCCCTCCGCTAAAATATGATAAAGAGATTAATTCATTGCTTACAGGTAACTTGGCCTCTTCAGAGGGCTTTGCTGGAGTGTGTATGTTGAGATACAGACAATCCTCCGAAATGCCAAGCACAGGGAAATCTATGAAGATTTCTTTTAATCCTGTTTTTATATTCTCCACATCTTGAATACACCTATAATCACAAAAAAGTCAATTTAGTCCAGTTTAATGCTGATGTTTTGTATTTCTCATAAATTTAGCAACAAAAAAAAACATGTAGTCAGGTCTGAACTGTACAATATACTGATGAAGAATTTATGCTGTTAACACATAAATCAAGCTCTATTGCCTTAGTAATTTCCTAATGCCATCTTGAGGTCAAATTCATTGTTTTGGCAGTTTACATTTTGCAGTAATTTGAGTTCAGACAAAAATGGTGTAAACACAGCATTGCGAATATGGGTATTATTTGTAAAAGACGTCTCAAAATGATCCACATACCCTGCATTGTTAAAGGTCAAATTTTAAAACATTTATTTAATCCAGTGCAGTAGAAAGATAATTGAAGGTTATTTTAATTATTGTTACTGATTTGAGTAGTTTAGTTTTGATTTGAATGTACAAAGATTTGAACAGGATATAGATTCTTAGAGGAACTAGGACACCGATTCAGGGAAGACTGAGCAAACCTTAAGCGATAGGCCTGCTATATAGAACATAATGCACTCTAGTTCCATGGCCTTCCAATTTAACAGCACAAAAATTAAACAGCAAACTTATTCTGGGCCTGCACATATGGCACATACTGTAAACTTAAACTTGAAAACTGGTATTTCAGCAAAGAAAACCAATGCTACTAATGCATATTTTCACCTGCTCCCTTGGCAACTTCAAGAAATGATTCTGAACCGTAAAGGCTGCAAAATGAATGGGACTATGTTTGTAACAAGGGAGTGGTAACTCATAAGATAAATACTTTAGATTATCTTAAAGTAGGTACAGGTTCACTGTTTCTAATCATCACTAAAACTGCAATTGCTGCAACTGTAGCTGCAGTCATAAAAAGTTCTCAAAAGCTCCTCCTCTTCTAGTTCTCGTAATTTACCCAGTCTAACTGTTACTGTTCACCATTTAACCGTTACTTCTTACCCAGTTTCACAACTGCAGCCTATTATGCAAGAGCCCAAGAAGTGTGATTTGCTGGCAATGAAGACTGGCACTTCCTCTCTGAATGCCAAGGGCAGGGAACCTAAAATGAACCTGTCCTAAAGACCACAGCAAAAGATGCTGTGTGTTTGTGGGCTTACACTCCACAAGCTTTCTGATGGTTTCCCTGACAGAGGGACATTGCACTGTGAGTTGCATCAGAGCACTCGTTCCAGACAGGTCTTTCTGCTCGGCCTCACGTCCACCTCTGCTCCATGGAGAGGGGGACCAAAAGGATGAATGTCATTCAGGTGGGTCAGAGGCAAAACCAAAGCAGCTTTAGAGAGGTGGAGAAATGGATCAGCGGACTTCCATCCCACCTGACAGAATTGGAAGGCTGTAAGTGTAGTCTGCACCTTCTAAGCCTACATGAAGGTGTAGAGATAAATGATCCTGTTACCTTCATACAGAATTTCCTGATGAAGTAGCTATCCTTGCACCTCTTTAGCCCACAAGTTTGACTGCATTCATTTACTGGAATTGTTTTGGCAGATATGAGTACAGCCTCATGCTGGTGTGGAGACTGTGTCAGTCCTGACAGGTGTGTTTATAGTTTATGGAACTTATCAGCTTTTTACCCTCTCTTCCTTTTTGTTTCTGCTTTCTTTGTGTGAGCTTCACCCTTTTGTGTTGTTCTACTGTTCTTTATTGCTATGGTCGGGAAACAAATGATATGGGTTGTGTACAGCAATCTTCAGTTGCTCTTCCAATTGTCTACTGCAAGCAAAGCTTTGACACGTATAAACATCGGGGGTTTCGATCTGGGTTTCGGCATTTGTCATCTGTCTCTCTTTTAAATCATGGATGTTTGGAAATTATTTTAGCTATGAAATACAAATGGAAAGGAAGTGTCCTACCTTAGCAATCAAGGCGAATAGGGGAATAAATGGAAAATGCTCATGTTTATAGTAAAAAACAACAACTAAAATATTATTTCTGAATTGCATTGTGATGTTACAACATATACACTCATGCAGAACATCTGAGTATGATTAAATGACACCTGAGGACCTTGCTTTTCTCAGGGAAGGGTGGTGACGTTACCGCACAGGTAAGCCAGCTTGCACAACCTGCAATGTCGTTACAATATTAATACTTATTTACATTTGCATCTTGCTCCGTTACGTAGGGATCGATACTTATTTCTGCCTCGTTCCCACCTGCTTAGGTTTTTACCGATTTACTTTTAACACAAAGTACTCTACCAATGAAGAAGCTATAACAGTGCTGTACTGTATTCTATTCTCTTCGCAAGACAGCTGTAAATAAGATATTGGCTGCAGGCACGACAAGAATGAAGGGTTTTGCTTTGGTAAAGCAATTAAAATGGTCTTACATAGAGGGCTGTTTGGTTGCATCTCTCAGTCCTTCCCATGGCTCTGGAGGCTGTGGTGCCGACAGCCTTAAAGCCCCAACAGGTGGTTTTGCAAAAGGAATCCCCAGGTATCCGTGAACAACTTTGTCTGTGCCCTTCACCCTGGAGTACGTCCCTTTCAGACTCCCGTATCGGGTGGACACGACCGGACCTGAAAACATATCAATAAAAAAAGATTTTAACAGACTATTTGTCATTCCACCTGGAAAAAAATATCTTCTCGATCACATGCACGTTCCCTTGCCTCCAGATTCAGCCGAAGACGTCCACAGAAAAGCGAAAGTCAGACAAACGCGAAACAGCGCTTTTCTCATTGTGCCTGTTGCCCCCAGCACATTTCAATACGGAAATAAAATAAAGACTTTGAGCACAGCAGTACGAGAGTTGGATAAGAAACTGTCGTGGAGTGTCCACCCCGTATTTCGTAATCATGAAGCTCTCACCAGTGTCTGGGCAAGCTGGTGTAAAGAGAGGGAGGGATCTGATCGGAATGGTTCTCTATACTAGTGGTTCGCCGCCAACAAACAGACCAACAAACAGCTTTTGGGGAATCAACAGTACACATGGAAACTAGAGCTAAATGATTTTGAAAAGGAGGCTCAGTCTGCTCACTTCTTTGAAGCTGATACCCTGGCTTCTTTCAGAAACTACTGAATGATATTCTCACGTAAGCAGCTACTGGAAACCGAACGAGTTAGAACAATTTGCCATCTGGGCAGATTCAGAATCAGTGATTACTGAGAATGTAATAACAAAAACCTAAAGCCACTACTGCTTTTGGTGAATCTAAAAGCCTGTAAAACACATTTAGGATATCAAACATCCATCCAGCCATGTTCAAGCACCGAGGGCCAGAAGCAGAACACAACTCTTTATCCCAGACACCTCTCCTCCCCACCAGAGCAAATTCTCCAGAGCAGAATGCGAGAGTGTGTGACCCATTTCGGTGTGCAGCAGGGCACGCTGTTGACAGAGCAGCTGGTTCTTTGTACGGAGGACAAATCTCCACAGTGAGAGCAACCAATCAGCAGTATAAAGATGTACTGTTCACTGAAAGAGAATCTCATTAACAGTGACAAAAAAAGCTCAGCCCATTTTTTCGAGCATGAGGGTTAAGACGTATTCATTCATTCACAATATTTTCTTAAATGACAACTGGAGTTTTTGAGCCACTTTGTTTCATTTTTCTTTCTCATAAGACAATTTAACCATTTGAAAGCAGCGACGCAGAGGAAGACCTCAGCTGAAAACTTTTGAAGGAAATATCTTTGTAGTGCAAATGGCAAGACAGCAGAAATTCTTGATTCTTCCAAAGCCCACATTGAAAGGTAGGTCTGACAGGATTACCGTTTCTCCTGTTTTTGTGATACTGATGTGCAAAAGCACAATTCCTGTTGTGAAATAAAGTTTGGTTGGCTGATCTTTTCATATTGGCCTGCTTCCAAAATCGACTGTAACTGTGTGAAAGGCCATTGGAGAATGAAACAAAATAACCACATGTAGCGATCAAAGTTCAGACATTAATCTGTTTCTGTGTATGAAATTTTAATCTATTATACATGAAATTCAGCAGAAAGTGCAAGAAAACTGGACTCTGCACTGTATCTGCAGAGCCTTTCAAGGCCAGTGAAAGCTTGTTAAGTTCAGGCATGTTCAAGAAGGTTATTAGTTTAAAAATAGAAGAAGGTTACAATTCACCAATGACAAAATGAGAGGACTTGGTAGATAAAAATATTGACAAAAAAGTGGCAATTTTATGGGTACACATTTCCAAGTGGTATATCTACTGTGGTGTTTTAAAGGAAGGTCACAGAATGAAGTTTTCAGTTTATGTTTGAGAGAGCTCTTTGTTACAGGGGCTGGCTCCCTTCTTGAATAAGATTGTAACATTAGATGAATGAAATTCCAGAGAGTTACTATTGAAATTAATTAGTGTCAGACAACAATTTAAAGTCCTTAATGGCAGCAAAAATAAGCAGAAGTAATGAGCCCATAAAGAATCAAATATTGTTAACAAATGGTTAAGTTACATTAAACTTTTAGATATAGAACATGACAGGTTGTGATTAATGTGTTTATGATACTGTTTGGAAAAATGAAATACATATTACATCATCTGTATATGAGATCTCTTACTGTAGTTCTCTTCCCCTTGTTTCTTGGTATCATCCATTAGCTACATATTTCATATTTAAATAAATGAAGATCTGAGTGTTATTATTTTATGTTGCTATACAACTTGCATGTTATGATTTTTGCTAGTCTATATTATATAAGGGTCAACCCACCATTGAAACAACTATACACAAAACAAAACAAAACAAAACAAAACAAAACAAAACAAGTAGTAAAAGTTCACTTTGGTTTACAAACTGTACAACTGAACATTCTATGGTTTTCTTGTGAACTGCTTCATGGGTAAATACAAAGTTAAAATACATTGCAGGATTAACTGTGGACCGTAGGTTTCAGTATTGAAGGTATTGTCAAAACTCATGGAAAATACACTAATGAAGTACCACTCAGCTCTAATGGGGGTTCAGGGATCCTTGTGTTTCTTTAGTTTTATAGTCTTTTACTTCACGGTGAACATATTTCCATTTGTTAGAAGAACTTTAGTGGCTTCTAGCGACAGGTAGCTGTTACTACAGTCCCTTCATGGCGCCGCATTTAGGTGAAGGTCTGTGTTTTATTCTTGGCAGTTTTAGCCAAAGCACGTAGTGCTATCAGGAACAACAGCAACACACTGCAAGACCTTCCCATGAGCTTCAAAGTTTCTTCCTAAGAAGTAATGTGGACTGAGTGTCAGTTAATTTCAGTTTAGAGCATGATGTATTTGACCCCTATGGGACATAATGCAAAGAACTACCCATCATTCCAATACAATGATACTCAGAATAGGATACTCCGCATTGAATTCATACCAAAAATATTTGAAGTTGGAAATCATTCGTGGTGCTGCCCCCAGTTATTCAGATTAATTCTCTAATTCAATTGGACTAGTAGACAGTCCCTTAAAAATACTAATGCCTCAAGAAATGTGATGTAATTTTTGCTCTTTAAGGGTGAGATTTACAAAGACGACGATATATTATTCTCGATATTAATCTATTATTTTGCCATTTAATGTATGGGTTTCCTGACAGTTCTGTAAGTATTGCACTTTAATCGTTTTTCATTTATTTTTTTATTGGACGATGAGCTGCATTCTTTGTAAAACGAGGATAAAAAAGTCAGACTTTAGTTCCAAATACTGCAAAAAATAAAAATAAATGAAATGGCATATGGCACCATCAGATTACAGTGAGCACAGATTCTGCTGTAGATTGGATGCTTTGCAACGTTTTTTTAATTGCAGGTCAGCTAGGGATTGTTGAAGATACGTGGAATTGTTTTTTTGTTGTTATTGTCTCTCCGTCGCGAGTATTACAAAGGGTTAGAGGTACACCCACAGCACAGTGCACAAGTCAGTGAAAGGAAGACGTCAAGGTCTTGAGGTAAAGAGGTCAGGATTGTATTAAAAACCAGAACAACGCACTTGGCGATCAGTGACGGAGCTGTGTCGTGTAGGAAAGCATGGCTACTGTCCACAGGGGCGATTCGCCTCTGTTAGGATTGCGAGACGCCCCGATTGATGGAAAAACACACTCGTCCTCGTTTTTTACGAATAAAATTGGAGGTCTACCGGTAAGAAAATGCTTTATGAAAACGAATTACGCCTTGTGAAATAAATGACACATTGCCGATTTTATTTACCGCTAACATGTTGTTGGTAGTGAGAGATACAGCTTTCATTTTTAAACGCAGAAGCCTCGCATTACGTTCTTAGTTGAATCTGGGGTTGTTATTACTGTTCGTACAAAAATCACTTTCTTTCCCCCTACTTCAACTTCAGCGCACGTTTTCCCAAACTACCAGCCGGTTTGTAGGAGGAGAAATGCCGGCAACCCCCCAAACTCAAGCCCGCGGTTGCAAACTAGCGATTCGCCCCAGTGTTGCCGTCTTGAACAGGCATCTCATTGGATCGACAGGCTATCCACAAATCAAGTGTGGAGCACACTGGCCTGTAATTCTGCTGGTCTTGGGTGATTTTTAACTTCATATTTCCGTGAAGACACAAACCTGCAGAAGTTGGCCTCTGGTGTAGCTAGGCTACAAAAGTGTCTCGTACCGTTTCCCACGTGGATAGACGTATCAATAATATGTTGGCTGTGTGAATGTTTCGTATAACAAAGAACACTAGAGTGTGCATTTAAAAAAAAAATACATGCATGTTGTTTGAATAACCGTTAATATTTAGATTTAAGGTTGCAAACCTAAGGCGTTATGTGAATCTGAACAGCCATAGAGGAATTAGTGGTGGATAAGTCGTGTGCGGGCCAGTGGCGCAATGGATAACGCGTCTGACTACGGATCAGAAGATTCTAGGTTCGACTCCTGGCTGGCTCGTCTGTTTTTGCGTTTCAGCTTACTTTATTTAACACGACCCTCACCCCGCAGACCGAATGATAGCGATGATTCAGTGGTAAGCCGAAAGTAAACAATTTTTGAGCAAATATTGAAAATGGATCAATTTTTAAATAGAATCTGTTTTCCTGGCGTGTGTGTGTGTGGGGGGGGGTGATCAGATCTGAAGTAAATCTTCTCTGTCCTAAGCATTCATATTTTATGTATTAAGTACTGGCAAGGTTTTAGGGAACAACTAACTTCGTTAGTGTAACAGTTGCCCCCTTTTTTGTTCTTTTCAGGACGTTTTCCCTTCCTTGACAGTGCACTATCCGCGCTGCTCTGTGTGCAGCGGAGTACTTGCTCACGTTGTGCAAGTATACTGCCCCCTGGAGGGGTCTCCCTATCACCGCACCATAAATGTATTCGCTTGCCCGAGTCCAGCGTGCTATGGAAACTCACTCAGGTGAAGAAAATTCAGATTTATTCTTTTAACCCCTATTGGTGGAGTGGTGGTTGGGTTTGTTTTTTAACAAGATACTCAAAACAGTATAAAAACATCATCTTACAGTCTTTAACCTTGCCTTTTTTTACTTCAGTTCTGGTGCAGGATACCAACACCGGTGTCCCACCAGCTAGAGCACGTACTGTATCTTCAAAATAAAGACTGACCAAAAAAGAAAATAATACACATCTTCACACATAAGGCGTTAGGATCAAAACTGAATAATTTAACAAATTTAATTTGAATTTAACTGGTTAAAAGCACTGTTTTGACCCAGGTGTGGGCCATAAAAATCGGATAGTGATTGCAGTTGCCATAGTGACAGAGCTGCTCAAGGCCTCACTCAGAAAGCCTGAAACAGGTAACACTGAGGTGCTTTTCTAGATGCACCAGGGGTAAGAGCCAGGTAGACACAAATGATGGAAGATTGTTTCTGATGATTTACTCTGGTAAATTACCTTCATGGTAAATCATTAGAACCATAATAAAGGATAAACATTCAGCCTCCAGAGCAAAAGATAATACAGAGGAAGAGGAAAGGGAGACAGGGAGACGAACAGAGGAGAAGACAGATAAAGGAAGACCATCACTCTTCTCTTCAGAAGCTTGTGCCATGAAAGAGGACCTTGTTCTGCTCAGTCTTTTGAGAATAGATTATGGCTAGTTAATCTACATAATCTCTGTTACTGTAGAGACCTTGCTGTTTTATTTTGATTTTGTATATTGTGAAATTCTCTTAGTTTGACTATTAATTCTTAGAATAGGTAGACTTTTTTCCCAGTGAATTTATGGGTATTTACGTTGTAGGAAGGAAGATTTGGTTCTGAATAGTGTTTATTTGGACACAAGTTTTTATTTCTTATTTTGGTCACCATAGTTGGTCACCATAGTTGCATGCTGTTTTGAGATCATTGGGATAGAACTCTGTATTTCTAGGCCTGTAGGAATTATCCCTCTGGCACACGTCGACTTGTGTAATTGTGTAATGTTGTGTAGCTGTTAATTATTGTTAATAATTATGACCATACAGGTTTGACTCTGATTAATTATGCTCTCACCAGAGTTGTCCTGAAGAATAAAAAGAACTGTTATTTCCTGACCCAGCTATTTTGCAACAGTATCATTATTCCAAAATCTTTATTCAGAGACAATGAAGAGATGATATAAAACCTTGAACACTCCAATACTTATCATTTCAGTCACTGTAATGACATAATCATTTTACGTGCAGATACTTTTGAGTTACACCCTGGCTTGAAATTTCTATTAATGCTAAAATACCAAATCAGCTGTCTTCTGTTTTGGTTTTGTTTTTAGCTGGAAAGTGTTGCG